GAGCAAAGATAGAAGTGATTTCGAGGGTATGGTCATCTTGCCTGCAAAGTTCTCAGACTTGACGAAAGGTTGATCCTCGTTAGCGTACTCAACAGGTTCTTCGATCACATACTCGTCTCCCGGCTCTAACCAAAGCAAGAACACAAGCAAAGGACCAACAATCAATCACGATGCAATGCACAAGCAACATGATGCAAAACATGGCATGATATGCAATGCATATGCGTGCTCTGAAAGGAAAAGGATGAACAAGGCATCAACTTGGCAAACCAAGTGTGCCGCGGGAAATATGAGATGATTTCGGTTGAAATCGATATAAATATCACCGGAAACGGATGCACGGTTTGCAAATCGCAAGCAAAACAAGAATGGCACAATTCTGCGATTAACAGCATGATGCCATCTAGAATGCAACAAGAAACTAAGCTACTGCACCCCAACATATCAAAAAGGCATATGGAAGTTATGTACTCAAGATGCTTGAGAAAACATGAACAATGAGCTACGGCTAAATCACACAAGAGCAGGTTCAAACAAGCATGGCAAAAGTGCAAAAGATATCAGCTTCACAGACTTAGTGAAAATACTAACATGTCAGAAATAACAACAGGAAGCCATGTTTAGAACTAGCAAACAACATGCTACAGGAATATATCATAGCAAACAAAGGAATGGCATGAATCTAATAAATGCATAGAACAAACGTCCCTTATTGAACATGAGCCAAAAAGGCACAGAAGATATGATGGCACCCATGTAAACATAGCAAGTTTTATTAACAGTTTCAGACTTAGCAGAAAAACAGAGCATGGCATAAACAGAATTATGAAGGCATCTTTGCGAGCTCAAATCACTCATCACAAGGCATTGCATGACAAGACAAGCATACCTACAGCATGATGACATGTTCATCAAGCTAACCATGGCAATAGCAAGTTCATAGCATGCATGGATCAATAGCAACAAACATGGCAAAATTGATTAACATGTAAACAATCTGCCAGGAATATTTTATAGCAAAAGTAGATCAAGATTAAGACATGCTAGGTCACTCCATAATTGCAAACAGGGGCATGGATGGATAGAGCATAACCATATGTTCAAAATATCCTTACTGAAGCAACTCAAAACAAGCATGGATCTCACTATAGCATCATGTTTATATGGCATCAAAATAACAGCAGGCACAAGACTTAGCAAAATCCTAAGTCCATGAAAACAACAATATCACGAAGGCTACTTTGCATGCTTGTTCTAGTCACCACATATATCAAAAAAATACATGGCAAGCACCTCTATAAAGATGGCATGGCATAGATCAGAACACATGTAGAGCTCAAGCCCATATGAAGCACACATCAAATGTGACAAAAATGAAAAAACATCATAATCTGATAGGTGGCAGGAGTAAACATTTTATAGCACTCTTGCATCAATGATTTGAGCATCAACATGAACTCAAACAAGCATGCCCCAATGGAATTAAATGAAGTGCATCTCCCAATGAACATTTTGATATCTCATGCGCATGAAACGGAGCTACGGTCATGGAGTTATGATGCAATGAACAGGGGCATACAGTGTTGCAGAAAAAGGGACTTAATGGAAATTTAGACCTCTAGATCTAGGGTTGTTCGGCATGCGGTTCGAAGTTCGCCAGGATCTCGCCGGAGGAGATGCTACGCGGTGGCTGGAGCTCGGGGAAGGAGGGGGCCGGCGACGTGGAGCGGAGGAGGTGGATCCGGGGCGAAGGCGGCGGCCGGATCTGGTGCGGTGCGTGGGCGGCGGAGCAGCGCCAGGCGACGGGGTCGGAGTAGGTGGCCGGCGGCGAGCTTGGACGGCGGCGGGGCGAAGGCGGCGGCCGGTGCGGGATCCGGGCGACGGCGGGTGTGGGCGCCAGGCGGCAGGGAGACGGGCCGCGGGGGCCGGATCTGGGCCCGGCGGGCCTCGGCGGTGAGCGGGACGGCGGTGGTGACATGGCGATGCGGGAGTGGCTGAAGGCGGCGGCGCGACTTTCTCCGGTGCGGATCGAACGTGTCCAGCGGCCGAGGGGGAGCGGGGCTAGGGTTTTGGACCCGAAATTTCGGAGGAGTGCACATATTTATAGGTAGGAGGAGGTAGGAGTGTCCAAATGGAGTGTAGTTTTCGTCCACACGATGACGACGGAGGACATGGGAGTGGTTTGTATGGGTTATTGGGCCGTTTTGGAGGGGTGTTGGGCTACAACACAAAAGAGGCCTTCGCGGTTACCCGGTTAACCGTTGGAGCATCAAACGGACTCCAAATGGCACAAAATTTAATAGGCGGTCTACCGGTGGTGTACCAAGGCCGCTTGACAAATCTTGGTCCATTCTGAGAATATTTAACACCCGCTCATGAAAAGAGACAAAAGGGGGACGCCGGTGCACGTGAGAGTGTCGGATTGCGAAACGGACAACGGGGAAAAAGCTCGGATGCATGAGACGACCACATATGCAAATGAGATGCACATGATGATATGATATGAAATGCATGACATGAACAAAATGCAAAACGAAGACAAAACCCAACCACGAAGTAAAATCTCATAACTTAAAGCCGAAAATGGCAAGAGTCGGAGTTACAACTATGGCAAGTTACATCCGGGGTGTTACATACTTGTCCTCTCATGTCCGTGTTCTTCATCGATCATGAACTTAATCTCATGACCATGTGTTGAACTCGATGATATCTTTGCTTCTGGTACAAGTGAATGTTGCTTTTTTAAGCTAGTGTTGGTGATGATTAGATAACAGTAACGACTATGATGATTAAATAGTGGTAATGACGACTATATATGATGATTTTTAGCTAGCTAGTATACTATTCTTGGTGATGATATGATGCAAGAGTTTTTATATTAATTGTTGATGATGAGTTATTATTTTATTTATGAAAGAAACTGCAGATTAGTTTCAACTGGATGCATGGAGCAAGCTAAGTGATCAAGTATATACCATATCCATATTATTTGATCACCTAGTGATCAAGTAATATGGATATGGCATATATGTACTTGATCACTTAATTAGCTAGCTAGATCCGCATCTAGTTGAAACTAATCCGCGGTACTTTCACCTAATGATTTAACAACTCATTATAATGTAAAAACAATCTCTAAATTAAATTGAAAACACAAAATTAAAGGAAAAACAACAAATAAAACCAAAATCGCCATAAACATTTAGTACCGGTTGGTGATACCAACCGGTACTAAAGGTCTCCCCGCACCAGCCCTGGAATGTGCCACGTGGTGGCACTTTAGTTGCGGTTCGTGCCGAACCGGTACTAGGGGGGGGGGGCTTTAGTCTCCACCCTTTAGTACTGGTTACAGAACCGACACTAAAGGCCCTTACAAACCGGTGCAATAGCCCGGTTCAGCACTAGTGGAAGTACTTTTTCCGTTTATTGCTATAGATTATCTATTTGTTGCTACAGATGATATATATTGTGTGTTTTCCTGTGTTTTGTTGTGTACTCGCATGATATATTGTGTGTACAACAATGCACACTCAATTTAAATGCACACACCGGTTAAATGGACAATTTGCTGGGAAACTAGTAGTACAATCAGTTTTGGACATCAATTTTCACACTACAAGCAGTACAGTCTGGCAGTTCAATTTGAAGGAATGACAGTACATATCTGGACTCACCATGTTCTAGGTGGGGGCTAGATCATCGTCGTTGTCGGGGATGTTGTAGATGATGGTGGCGACGTCCTGGTCCTTCTGCTGCTCCTCGACGCCACTACAGATCCAACACCACCGCTATATATCCAGTCGTCGGAGAATAAAATTTCATTTGAACTCGACCTCCCTGGCGCAGACAGTGGTAGCTACGAAAACGAGGGAGGGGTGACAACGTAAGAGGAAGAGGGCGACGACAAAGCGAGCGAGGAAGAGGCGGCGACGACGCGGGCTAGGAGAGGCAGCCACACAAGCGTTGGGCTAGGGATTTGAAATGAGGGAGGGGAATGAGTGAGCGACCGAGAGACCATGAGTAAGTGAGTGACCGACAGAGCAAGAGGTATATTTGGAAACCAAGGTAATTTCGTAAACGTGATAAAAAGTGAATGTCGATATCTAAAACATCTTATAATAGTGAGCGGAAGGAGTAGCTATTTGTTTCAGCTTTTATTTTTTTTCTTTTGTAATTTGCTCCCTAGAGCCGTAAAACTAATAGGGTCATAGGACCCTCTTGCCAAACTCCAGCAATAAAGAACTTAGTAGCGATGTCCTTCGTCCCTAAAGCATCTCCAATAGCTTTTGTTAAAACTCCCTAAATGCTTTTTACGGGTGTCCGTAAAATTTAGGGGAAGTTAACAGGTAAGGTGTTTTCTCAGTTCCTATAAAAACTTATCTCGAAAGTGGTTTTGGGCGGTGGTGCAACGACGACGGCGGACAGATGGCGCGGCGGCGGTGGTCGGTGGAGGCGGCATGGCAGTCGGTGACGGTGGCGGTGCAGGGTGGTTAGATGACAAGACACTTTTACATGAAGAGTCATCTTCCCGTAGAGGGAGGGAAAATTTTAGAGAATTTACAGAATCCCCTACAAAATTTGCATCCTTATAGGACCGTTGAAGAGTTTTTTTCCAACTTCCCCTGAACAACGATTACCGAAACTTTTGAAGATACTCTGACATCAACAGATCTCTTGTTCAGATCTTATGTGATGAATCAAATAATTAAGCAAGAAAATTTGAGTGGGACAAACTGAAGTCGACTCAAGATGCTTTGGAACAGAAAGTCTCGATTTTGTTCTATTTTTAGCCATGCTCAGCTATCCTTTTCCTACAACCACAATGTGCCATAGGTCTTCCCTCTCCTATGTATAGCACACAATGTCTCAAGAGAAAAGAAGAGAAAAGCTTTGTATTGTTGACCTTCCTCCATCTCTCACCTCACCCCAATTCTGGCCCTTTGGCAAGAGGCCATGCGGCCGAGGTGAGTTCGCGCGCGGAGATCACATGCGCACCGGAGATGAAGGGGAGGACGCTTTTCAAGAGCCCTCTCCCCAGCAACCACGTCTCCGACGCCTCCAGCTCGGCCGGCGCCGGCACCACCCACCGCCTGTACCAAGTTTGGAGGGGAAGGAATGTACGTCAATGCTCATTGATTAGTTCCGGTGTTCCAAAGGGAGGGTGCCCTCCATTAGTTCATTCGATCAATCTTGTGCCTGGCAGAAATTTCTTTGTGGCGGGCGGTGCATCTTCGGCCCTGACGCCAACTCCATCTTTCTATCTGTGTCTCTCATCATGACGCCGCTCGCGCTCTTCGTGGCCTTCGTCTCGTTCCGCCTCGCCGAGCTCATGGGGAAGCCGCTCGGCCCCTTCGTTCCAAGGACAGCCATGGCCGTCGGCGCATTCGTGAGTCAAATTAACAACGATGTCCATTGATTCCTTGAGCAAACTTATTAAGCAACGCAACATTGACCGATCGTTAAGTACCATGAGATGTGCAGGATCTTCTAGTGTTGGTGCTCACGTCAGGGCGAGATCCCGGGATCATCCCGCGGAACACGAAGCCGCCGGATCCCGAAGACGTCCAGCTGGACGGCCTGGCGTCCCCGGTGACCGGAGCGCCATCGTCGGGGACACTTCCGCCGACGCGTGACGTGTACGTGAACGGTATGGTGGTGAAGGTGAAGTACTGCCACACGTGCATGCTGTACAGGCCACCGCGCTGCTCTCACTGCTCTGTCTGCAACAATTGCGTGGAGCGCTTCGACCACCACTGCCCCTGGGTCGGCCAGTGCATCGGCAAGGTACACCTCCACCTCGTAGCAGCTAGTATATATACCTCTAAGGCACACATGCACCATTCGTAAGTTGCCTGAATTTTGTTTTTTTTTGGCAAGTCAATTTTTCGGATTGCTGGATTAAGATCCAACAGCCGTCCTTGTTTCTTCTTCCTCTAGCTTTCTTCCTTTAGTACTCGTCTTCTTCTCGCGTCCTTACCTTTCCTTGAGCGGCGACGATGCTGCTCACTGCACCCTCCCTGCTAGGGCGCTGTCTAATTAGAGCAGGAATATGAGGTTTGACTTTTCAAAAATTTGGTCATGTAAAAATATTTCTTCACAAACATAGTCAAAGTTTATGAGGTTTGACTTTTCAAAAAAAAACTAGATGCACTACATTATGGAACATAGGGAGTATTTTAATATAGCAAGCTGGTTTTAAAAGTATTCTCTTTGCGAGGGGGGTGACCTAATCCAATTAGGCGATAAGCTGCCTTCTATTACGACAGTTGTCTTCCCTTTGTTGGGTGCATCTTTGTGCATAAAACTCTTAGGCCTCCTTTGGTTCATAGGATAGAAATATCATAGGAATGGAAAAAATCATAGGAAGTGAGGTGGCATGCATCTCACTTCCTATAGGGAAAGAGATGTCACTTGATTCGTAGGATATGATTTTTTTTCCATCGAGGCCTCCTTTGGTTTGTAGGAATGTCATAGGATTTCTATAGGATAGGATTTGCATAGGAAAATTTCCTTTGAGGCCCTTTGGTTTATAGGAATGGATTCCTATTCCTATATAGGATAGGAATCAATCCTTCACATTTTGGAAGAAAAAAAACATTAGCTAAGACTCAATGGAAGAATTCATATCCTATGCATCAAATGATATCTCTTTCTCTATAGGAATTGAGATGCATGTCATCTCACTTTCTATGATTTTCCTATTCCTACAACATTTCTATCCTATGAACCAAAGGAGGCTTGAGTCTAGGCTAATGTTTTTTTTCCTTTGAAATGTGAAGGATTGATTCCTATCCTATATAGGAATAGGAATTCATTCCTACAAACTAAAGGGCTTCATACAAATTTTTCCTACAAAAATCATATCATCTAGAAATCCTATAAGATTCTTCCAAACCAAAGGAGGCCTTAATGTTCTGGTGCTACGCATGTCCCTTCTCCAACCCTTTGGTCGTGGTTCAAGTCTCATATAACTTGTGGCATATTTTGGCCTTCTTTGGTTCATAGGATAGGAATTTTATAGGAATAGGAAAATCATAGAAAGTGATATGACATGCATGTCAATTTCTATAGAGAGAAAGATGTCATTTGATGCATAGGATAGGATTTTTTTCATTGAGTCTAGGCTAATGTTTTTTTTCCTCCAAAACGTGAAGGATTCATTCCTATCCTACATAGGAATAGGAATCCATTCCTACAAACCAAAGGGCTCCAAAGGAATTTTTTCTTTACAAATCCTATCCTATAGAATTCCTACAAAAATCCTACAAACCAAAGTAGGCCTTTGTTTTAATCGGATCCAAGACCATCTCTAGAAATTCAGGGCCTCAGGGGCATAATTTTATGCTAGACGTGAAAAAAGAGCTCAAAACAAAAAATATATACATCACATCATAATCGGGGGCCTTGGAATTTTTGGACTCTGTGCGGTTACACAGCCTGCACAGCCCCATGAACGGCCCTGATCCGATTAAGTTGGTGCTGTTGCAAAAGACTACTGTAATGTTTTATCTATGCCAAATCAGGTTGGCGTTGTTGCAGAAAGACCCCTGTAAGAATTAGTTGATTTGTTAGCGGTCAAAGGTAGGCTGAAGTGGTAGCCATGTGGCCGTTTCCCCCCTCCAAATCGGTTTTAGCCTTATTTGATCAAATTAGTGAGTTTTTGGCCGTGTTCATGGACCAATGACGCATTTCACACTTAAACTTGATTTTGTGTATGTGTGTATTGATGCAACAAGCGTGCAGAGAAATTACAGGTTCTTCTTCATGTTCATCTCGTCGACGACGTTCCTTTGCCTCTACGTGTTCGTGTTCTGCTGGGTGAACCTGGTCCTCATCGCGCGGAAGTACGGGTGCAGCCTGGGCGGCGCCATCGTGGAGTCGCCGGTCTCGGGGTTCCTCATCTTCTACACCTTCATCACGTCCTGGTTCGTGGGCGGGCTCACAGCGTTCCACACCTACCTCGCCAGCACCAACCAGACCACGTACGAGAACTTCCGGTACCGGTACGAGGGAAAGTCCAACCCGTACAACCGCGGCGCGGCGCGGAACCTCGTCGAGATCTTCCTGTCGCCGATCCCCGCGAGCAAGAATGACTTCCGGCAGATGGTCGTGGTCGACCCCGACACGCTCCTGTACGGCCCGCCCTCCATGGCCTACTCCTACTCCTTCGGCATGCTGTCGGCGTCCAAGAAGAGCTTCAACACCCAAGCCAGCCTCAGCTTCGACATGGGCAAGCCGAGCTTCGACCTCGGAGCTGGATACAGCGTCAAGCGCACCAGCATCGGCTCCTCCAACTTCGGCGACATATACAATCCTACCGGTGACGGCGTGGAGGGCGCGGAGCACCAGCAGCCGCGGCACAACATCTTCGGTGGCGGGAGGTTTCAGGGAAGCAAGAAGGTGGCAGAAGACTCGGAGTCGGTCGTGACCAACGTCGCCACGGCGAGCTACAACGTCGCCGGTTGACCTCATGGGAGGGAGTTCGAGGCCGTGTGACGGATGATCGCCCCGAGCGCATGCAGGTGATGCCCGTTCGATCTTGGTTTGGGTAGGGTCGTAGGGAGGGAGCGCGGTTCAGACTGTGCGATGCGGCGCGAGATTGAAATTTTGGTCGCTCTCGCCCGCGTGCGTTGTGTTGGACCGGCCGGCGTGCGGTGGTAGCTTGATCTCAGCTTCCCCTCCCCATGTCTGCGCTCAGATGTGATCGATGGACGTTTCTAGAATAGTATCCTGCTACACTGACTCTAGTGAAGGTGATGTATATATATAAATACACATACACGTATCCGCGCGCGCGACTTGAGTTTTGGTCTCTGGGCTATGGAAATGAAATCCGTGCACCGGCGGCAGCTTGTATTTTTTTAACATCAGTACAGATACAATCGCTCATATACACGTGCATACATTCACCCCTATGAACGCACACACGCACAACCTATTTCTATAAGCATCTTTGAAAAACTGAGCCGGCATATTATCTTGAAATTTACAAAGTCACCGTAGGCACCTCGTCGTCGACGGGAACGTCTCCTCCCACTGAATGCACATCGCCGGAAATCCTAAAATAAATTCAGGAATAAATGCAAGCATCAGGATTTGAACCCTGATGGGCTGAGGATACCATAGTCCCGCTAACCATGTATTTAGGGGTTCTATTTCTTGACGGGTAAATTTTTTTCTTGATGCGTTTTATTTAGGGGTTCTATACGTGATATATTTTTCTTTTTGGACAACCCATCGACCACCGGATGAGAATCGGATCATAGACCGTCTCAACAGTCGTTGGATGGCCCGTGGAACAGCCGTTCAATCTTTCCCAGCGCCAGTTGTGCGCCCCGCCCGTTCGTAACATGGCATGTGTTGCGTTCAAGGCTTTGTAACACAAGCCGTGTTTTGCTTCATCGAACCGTTTTCTACTGGTCATGTAAAAAAAATGTTTCCATTGCAATGTGGTTTACGTGCCCCCCCCCCCTCTCATGTTGCGACTGCAAAATGGGTTATGTTGCAATCCCAGGCTGAACTCTCACACACGTCCCACACCTCGCCACTGTCATGTCCTTTGTGACATGGGCCATGCTGCAATTCCACGCCGAGCTCCGACACAAACAAGCACGCCTCAAGCTGCCCCTGTCCTTTGCAATATGGTTTGTGTAGTGATTGCAACATGGGCCATGTTGCAAATCTTGGCTGAGACACACCTCAGGTGCGTGAGGAATCGGATGGTGCGATACAAATCATTCAATTGAGCACTAGCCTTTTCCTTTTTCTATGTACATGAGAGGGGAAAACAACAGAGCCGGTCACATTGTTTGTTTATAGAACTTAGTGGGTCACATGTAAAAGTCCATCTTTACACATGGTTTAAGGCATGGAACTTATTAGACTTTTGCCGGTGCTCCAAAGTGTATGGGTGTTAAGGATGTCATATAGGCAAAAATGATGTGGCAAAGCAATTAAAGAGGAAAGAGAGCATTATGGTGAACCCAGAAAGGAATGATATGTTAAGCGCATGTACCTATGTAAAATGCCTACCAACCAATGCATGAAGTAGTTTAATTATTAAACAATTCAATGAGGGAAGATTAGCTACAAAAGCTAAGCACCAATTCATTATGGAGATTAGTTGCTAAGGTTCTTTTACAATAGTTCTAAGGTTTTTAATGCACTTAGCACCTCACTTAAGCAACAATGCATTGGAAGAGGCCTTATGTGTAAGGGCATCTTCAATGCACATCACCAAACGAACGTCATCGACTGCCCGCGAACACGTCTAGATGTGTTTGCTGATAGTTAGTAGGGCGGAGGCCACCCGGCCATGATCATCAAATGCTCAGCCCATTTAAAATAGATCGAGAAAAACACAAACGAAATTTAAGAAAAAGAAACAAAATTAACAAAGTTTGATATATTTACAACCAAAGAACGGAATTTAACAAGTCCAACTAAACTTAAACTAAAAACTAACTAACCTACAACAGGTACCAGGCGGTGACCTCGTAGGCATCTCCTACGACGACAGTGACACCTCTTCGTTGTCCCCACCATCAAACGATCCACCGTCCGTGCCTCCATCTGAGCCAATGTTGCTAACATCGTCGTGCAAGTGTGTAGGATCGAAAGTATGTCTAGAGGGGGCGATTAGACTACTTGACCAAATAAAAACTTGACCTTTTTTTCCCAATTTTAGTTCTTGGCAGATTTTAGCTATTTTAGGACAAGTCAAGCAATCATCACACAATTCAAGCAAGCATGCAAAGAGTATATTGGCAGTGGAAAGTAAAGCATGCAACTTGCAAGAATGTAAAGGGAAGCGTTTGGAGAATTCAAACGCAATTGGAGACACGGATGTTTTTCCCGTGGTTCGGATAGGTGGTGCTATCCTACATCCACGTTGATGGAGACTTCAACCCACAAAGGGTAACGGCTGCGAGAGTCCACGGAGGGCTCCACCCACAAAGGGTAACGGTTGCGCGAGTCCACACAGGGCTCCACCCACGAAGGGTCCACGAAGAAGCAACCACCCACAAAGGGTCCACGAAGAAGCAACCTTGTCTATCCCACCATGGCCATCGCCCACACAGGACTTGCCTCATTAGCGGTAGATCTTCACGAAGTAGGCGATCTCCTTGCCCTTACAAACTTCTTGGTTCAACTCCACAATCTTGTCGGAGGCTCCCAAGTGACACCTAGCCAATCTAGGAGACACCACTCTCCAAGAAGTAACAAATGGTGTGTAGGTAATGAACTCCTTGCTCTTGTGCTTCAAATGATAGTCTCCCCAACACTCAACTCTCTCTCATAGGATTTGGATTTGGTGGAAAGAAGATTTGAGTAGAAAGCAACTTGGAGAGCCTAGAGATCAAGATTCATATGGTAGGAATGGAATTTCTTGGTCTCAACACATGATTAGGTGGTTCTCTCTCAGAACATGTGAGTTGGAATGGTGTATGTGTTCTGATGGCTCTCTCTTCGAATGAAGAGGGGTGGAGGGGTATATATAGCCTCCACACAAAATCCAACCGTGGGACCGAATCCCTGTGGGACCGAATCATAAACTCGGTCGGACCGAAAATGTAAACCTAGTGACCGTTAGAGATTTTCGATGGGACTGACATGCAACTCGGTAGTACCGATATGGTTAGGGTTTGGGCATAACGTAATCTCGGTGAGACCGATTACACAAACTCGGTGAGACCGAATTTGGTAATTAGCTAACCAGAGAGTTGGTCAGGCAAACTCAGTGGGACCGATTTGCTCTTTTGGTGAGACCGAAAAGTTACAAAGGGGAAACACTGAATTTACATTGCAATCTCGGTGGGACCGATTCGCTCTTTCGGTGAGACCGAAAAGTTACGAAAGGGAAACAGAGAGTTTGCAATCCCATCTCGGTGAGACCGAGATCCCTATCGGTAGAATCGAATTGCTAGGGTTTGGCAGTGGCTAATGACAAGTGAAACTCGGTGGCGCCGGATAGGAAGAATCGGTAGGACCGGGTTTGGCTTAGGGTTTAGGTCAAAAGTGGATATGGGAAAGTAGTTGAGGGTTTTTGGAGCATATCACTAAGCACATGAAGCAAGAGGCTCATTAAGCAACACCTCATCCCTCCTTGATAGTATTGTCTTTTCCTAAAGACTCAATGCGATCTTGGATCACTAAAATATAAAATGAAGAGTCTTGAGCTTTTGAGCTTGAGCCAATCCTTTTTCCTTAGCATTTTGAGGGTTCCACTTTCACATCCATGCCATGCCAATCATTGAGCTTTCCTGAAATAATCATCTTGGAATAGCATTAGCTCAATGAGCTATATGTTGTTATGAATTACCAAAACCACCTAGGGATAGTTGCACTTTCAATCTCCCCCTTTTTGGTAATTGATGACAACATATAGATCAAAGCTTCGACAAATGATAATAAGCATGAAATATATTGTCTCTTTGAGAAGTATGTGATAAGTAAGAGCTCCCCCTAAATTTGTGCATATTTAAAATTTGCTTTGGACTGCAAATGCACAAGGAGTTAGAGTCATGGGTTACTCTTCCATGTCACATACATCTTGGTGGAGCGCTTAAAATGATAAGAATGAAATACATGCACTCATCACCAAGAATAGTGAAAGATCACATAAGATAGATAAGATAATAGCATTAAATAAGCATTAAGTGTAGCTTATGATCAAACACATGATCATTAAGTGTAGCTTAAAATAAAGCAAGAGAGAAAAGCAACACTCTCTCTCTCTCGAAGCCTATGATCTATACATTTTTCTCCCCCTTTGGCAACAAGTTACCAAAAAGTTCCTAGAAAATGCATAGTGCTAGATCGACGCTCAGGCTTGATCTTCTGGTGGTGGTGGAGTCCGGATCACTCCAAGGACGAAGGCTTCTGTAGACGCTGAAGTAGACGCTGGAGTTGGAGCTGAAGTAGATGCTGGAGCTAGTGGAACTGAGGCTGTAGCTGGTGCTGAGGTGGTGGCTCTTGTGTCAGCAACTGGCACAGCAGACGACCTCGGACCTCGTGGCACTCTGGCAAAGGCATGAGTGGTAGTCCTGCCTCTCCTCTCCTGCATATCATCTTGGAGCTACTCCACTGCAGACTGAATCTCCGTTACCTTGACATCCAAGTCATAGAACTTTTGTTCCATGATTCTCTCTAGGCTTGCCTGGTTTTGAGTTAGGGTGGCTAGTCCTTGCTCAATCCGCAGGGTGGATGCAATCAGGTAACCAAGCTGCTCTTGTTTGGTCTTCAAGAAATACTCAGATGCCTCCTCTTGAGTTGGCATCTTGGCAGCTTTCTCCTTCCTTGCCTTCTCCTTCTTTGCGTATGCTTGGGCAGATGATGGCTCGTTCTCAGTCATGACAACTTGATTGTCCTCAAAATCTGGACGGATGGGCAGGTGTTCCTTGTCCAATAAATATATGCCCTTGCCCATCTTGGAGTTAATGAGCTCCTGGATCTGAGGGGCATAT